GAAGACTTACTTAGAAAATATGTTTGAAAAGAATGATTTTGATTTTGATTATCAGATCACATATAATCAATGGGTGTCAACTGACCGAACTGCACTTATTACAGTCCAAACAAGCATTAGTGAATTTATTGAAACTTTAAGTGAAACTTTGTATGACCTTTGTCACCACCACTTTATCAAAGAAGCACAGTCTTCCTACTTAACAGAGGCAAAACAAACATTAGACCAATATACCTGCATTATTCTGATGGATTTTGCAGAAAACTATAGTTTTCTTGTACAAGATGCTATACAAGGTTTTTACTGGCAAGCCGATTAAGCTACCTTACACCCATTTGTTGTTTATTACAAAGATGAAAAAGATCACCTTAAGTGTGAATGCTATTGTCATAGATTATCCTAGTCATATTTTAAAAATCCGGAAAATGGTTTGGAAAAAACATCCAGAAAAAATCCGGAATTTGTTTTTCTTATTTTCTTTTTAATTTCGCTTTTAGTGTAGTTGTTTTTAATTTTTTTTTGTTACTTTTCATAATTTTTTTTAAGTGATGAGTGAAAAAGCTTAAAAAATAAATATATTACAAAAATATATACCTCATCTTGCATGTATTGAAAATATTTTGGATATCCGGAAAAACTAAAAATTGAAAAAAATATCCGGAATTCCGGAAATATCCGGAAAAAGATAATTCCTGTATTGTTTAATTTCTGACCACCTTTGTCATGACCAATCAGCAGTACATTGTTTTCTCACAAAGTTGCTCCCTATGGTCAAAATCAAACTACCCACAGTGAATAAAGTTAAATACTTCAGTGATGGTGCTGCGTCACAGTATAAAAACTACAAATGTCTAATAAACTTAATTTATCACATTGTAGATCACCAAATAAATGCTGAGCATCACTTCTTTGCTACGTCACATGGCAAAAGTCCATGTGATGGAATAAGAGGTACTATAAAAAGAGAAGCAGCAAAAGCTAGTCTACGAGCAGCGATTACAAAGCAGATTCTCAAAGCAGATAAGTGTTCCATTGATTAAAAGTAAAAGTGCTTGTGACTATATTCTTGCTAGTAATGACAGTATTATGAGTTAAATAAATCAGAGATAAGCTAATAAGTTTCATGTATACATACTTTTTCTTTTAACTGATTATCTTACTCTTTGAATGCACTTTTTTACAGTATAGTTAGTATAAAATTTAAGGTAAAAATTTTGTGGTATTTTTTTGTTCTCCTCTTAAAAATATCATCACTCTCAAAGTCATTTCATAAGATAGAGTATAAGTCTTTAAATTTTTTTTGGTGATTGTCTATATATAGAACCTCAACATTAAAAAGTTTCATAATTCATTTCAACTGTTTACGCTACTTTCTATGCCAGCAAAGTCAATGTAATTTATCATAATTTAAAAAAAAAGTGATTTTTAATGCATAATTTTGATTATTCTAACAAGTGGTGACCCTAAGTACAAAAAGGTAACAGAAAAATCCACTTTCTGTAAGTAAGTATGAAACTGTAACACGTTAAAGTTTGAAAAAATATTTATAATGTTGCAATATTTAGCAACTTTAAGGTACAATAACTCAAAAACTGTATAAAATCAGTCAAAAACAACTGCAATAATCGATTATTTGGGTGAAAAACTATTACCCTACAAAATTTCAGGTGATCACCAGCTTTATTTAAAAAGTTATGATTTGTCAAAAATCGAAAAAAACTGCTGTAAGCTCCTGATACACAAATTTTTCGGATTTTGGTCATTTTTAAATCAATCATAACTTTTGAACAAATTGGTCAATCAAGCTAAAATTTTCTGGATTGTATTTTTTTCATAAGATCTGTGTCTGGTCAAAATTTAAAGCAATTCTGAAAAGGTACTTTGGGAGCCATTAGATGATTTGATATGGAATAACCCCATTATTAAAACAAAGTAATAGCCAGATTGAAAAACTTCATAATGCTTTAAAATTCTTCAGAAGAACACATCTTCTTCAGAAGAACACATCTTCAAAATGTTTATCAATTTTTATAGTGTGAAGCAGCATAACATTTTTAAGAAAATATTTTTATTCAGTGAAACAGCTTACACAAAGTTTTAAGAAATATGTATAATATTAAAATTAAAGAAACTTTATTGAAAAAACTTTATTAAAATTTATATGAAATATATAAAAAAAACTTTATTGAAATTTATATGAAATATATAAAAAAACTTTATTGAAATTTATATGTGAAATATATATAAAACTTTATTAGCATTAAAGTCATTTTTTCCCCACTAACTTCATGTTAAATTTTCTCAAAAAAAATTTATTTGTTCACAATTATTTTTTTTAAAAAACTTACGTTGTAGATTCTACTAGTGTTATTCGTTGTAACTCAGATGGCGACTTCAAAAAAAATCCTTCTCCATAGTGTGTTAACAACAATGATGATATGGCACTAAAAAAAATACATTAGTCATAGTAATATAGAAGGCGAAGTAAATCACAAAACACATATAAGCCTTATGACAGTCTATAATAATCAATTCTATTTATAATAGTTTACAATTTAGTTAAAAATCCTAAATATTGAAAAAAAAAAAAGTTATAAATTTGATATATATAATATATATATATATATATATATATATATATATATATATATATATATATATATATATATATATATATATATATATATAAATATATATATATATACATATATATATATATATATATATATATATATATATATATATATATATATATATATATATATATATATATATATATATATATATATATATATATATATATATATATATATATATATATATATATATATATATATATATATATATATATATATATATATATATATATATAATAATGGCCAAAAAGATCTGATTACTCATAACTATATAAGTATTTTTTTTATAAACACAAAAAATGCATGCTGACAACAAACTCAACAATTAAGTGTTGCCTCGGTGATTATACAACATCATATGCTAAATGCATATAAGTGCAACTTTTAATGGAAGATGAGAGGTCTGAACATTTGCACACTTAAGATACCACTGTTTATGATGCACATGCTGCACATTTAAAGATGCCACTGTTTATGATATCATAAAGCACATTAAGTCAATAGAAGACATCAATTTAAGAAAATTTTGTGGACTAAAGACCAAAAATTACCACTCCAAAAACTGACAACATAATAAACCATTAGGCCATGAAAGACATACTGAACTCAAACTCACAAAATCTTATTTAAATTAATAATAGTATCCTAGTGTTAATGTTAGTGCCCACTCAGTTCAAAGATGCCTTGCCAAGAGCTTTAATCTATGATTGCAACACGCTGTATTAAAGTCTTTTTCAAAAAATTATTTGTAGTTACCCCAGTTTTTACAAAGGACACAAGGAATGGATTTTTAAAATGTGGCAACATTTTTAGAAAAAGACCATGCTATTCAAGCACAAATTTGTAATACACAGTCAACGAATACTTGCCACCAAACTCATGTTTCAATTCTAGACATATCACACATTCTGTTGAATAATTTAAAGCAACTGTGATTCGGGATGCAATCGCCAACGATTGTTCAGGTTTAAACCTTTTACAACAAGCAAATTTGTCAATTCTGACAATTATATGGAAATTTTAAAGCAAAATGTGTTTCAAATTAAAAAAAGCAAAATGTATAATGGTATATTCGTGCATAATGGGGTAACTTGTCACCAGGAAAAAAATGTTAAGACATGGCACAAAGAAAATACAATTAATGTTCTTGCCCCAATGGATGGACAATTTTTTTAAAAATTAAACCTCATCGAAAACTGTTAGGTAAAATTGAAAGCAGAAGTTTATTAACAGACCTTACTATGAGATTTGAGAAAATTCATAATAAAAGTGTTGTAGTATCATGAAGGATAGAGGCTAATCTAAAAGTTAGAGGAGACCATACAAACTAAACGAATAAAAAACAGCAACAAACAATATAATAACAAAATCAAATAATATAAATAGATAAAATGACTGAGGAGAAAAAAGAACAGGAAAAAACAAAAACTACCTTAAACTTAATACAAAGTTAAAAGTTTAAAAATGTTTGAAAATGGAAAATATTGATAAAAAAGAACAACAAATTTTACTACCAATTAAAAAAGAAAAATTTTTTTTTCAACTTTAATTTTTTAAATTATTTTTGTATACTGTTCATATTGTAATGCATTTTTGTGCTTAGTTTAAATTCTCCTGTATTTTTTTACATTGTTTATTTTATAATGTAATTTAGTGTGCTATTTGCATTGTTTGTTAGTTGTTGTTTGTTCTATTATTGTGTATAGTTTATTGGACATTGTAGTGAATAGTTCATATTGTTATATATTTTAGTGCATTGTTTGCATTGGTACGTATTTTTAATTTGTTTAATGTTGACAACTTTGTATAGCTAGCTATTGTGTTTATAAAAACAAGTGACTTATTATTTTTATTATTATTACTATTATTATTACTATTACTATTGTTATTGTTTTTGTTGTTTCATTGTAGTTTTTATGTTTATTACTATATTTATTATTATAATTACTATTATATAATAATTATTAGTTATATATATAAAGATCTGTATTTTTGGTGTTTACTTAGGATTAGTAAAATCACTATTTGTAAATATCCATGAAAATCTTTTTCAGAATATGACAGATTAATTGATTGATTGAATACTACTATGTTTTATATATGTTCATTTTTTTTTCAAATTTTTGTAATGTAATGAATTTTTAGTAATAAATGCTTATACTATACAACACAAAAATTTTTTTTCGCTACAAATATTAAGTGGTCAGATCTTTTAAACAGCACCTGTATATATATATATATATATATATATATATATATATATATATATATATATATATATATATATATATATATATACACATATTAAATTTATATATATATATATATATATATATACATATTAAATTTATATAGTAATTTATATAAACTTAAAATAATACCGTTGAAAACTTTATATTTTAAATATTAAAATTTACAGAATATCAATTACAATATAAATTTTATCAAGCATATGTTTTTTATTTAACCAATTAAGTTGTGCAACTTAATTTGTTAAATAACATTATTATGTCTTAAATACAATGTCATTTTGAATATCATTTTGTTAGGTGTTGAATAATGTTGTCATATTTGTGCTGGTTTTTCTAATGATATCTCATTTCTTTTAAAAAAAATCCAAAAAACATTTTGAATGTAGTTAAACTTATGTATGCATAACATACTTATTAATGATATATTGTATGCACAAGGTGAATGAATGTATGCAATTGTATGCACAAGGTGAATGAATGATATATTGTGTGTATAGCCCCCTAGCCCCCAGAAATAGCCCTTTTAATACAGCACTGAGTGAAACAATACTATTAGTAATTTGGCTTAGGGTATTAATAAAAATACATTGCAGCTTTTTATTTTAAAAAGTTATGACTAAAACAGGCTGTTTTCATTAAAAATACTTATTTTTTTGACCTTCTACTGAAAAATACTTATTTTTCAGTAACTTTGACTCCCTTGAGGCAGCTGTAGACATTAATGTTTTGAGGAAACTTTATTCACTTTATTTTAACACATATCAAATGGCAACTTTTTGTTGCTATTACATATCAATAATTTACTATTTATATTTTCACCTGAAGTTTCACTGCACCCTACTGTAGAGTAGGGTAATGCTATAACAACTTTTTTTTAAAATACTATGTGAAACCTTTTCTAAGACATGAATAATTGTGTCCAAAACACAATTTAATAAAAAAAAGTTATATTTTCAAAAATTTTATGACGTCAAAACAAAAAAAAGTTACTTTATAGAAATAAGACAAAAATCCTATTTTTATTTTTTTGTTTTTTTTTATCGTACAAACTATAATATAATAAAATATAAAAAAAACAAATTTTAAAAAGTTAGATTATTGTTGATTAGACATTTTAATAAACATTTCAGTATAGAAAAGTTTTTCAAGAGCATCATCAGACTGGTAAGCTCAGATGTCCATAGCTCGGAATCCTCTCTCAGCATCCTCATTCATTTTATGCACATTTTTTAATGCGACTTCAACACCAAGAGTATGTCTGGTCAGAGCTTCTTGGGGTGTAATGATGTAGCCTCTTTCAGATTCACCTAATTGGATTTTCCTCCATTTTAAACCATGCATGTTACATGCATGGTTTAAAATGATGGAGGAAACCCAATTTTTTATTTATTTATATTTTTTTTGTAATAGTAACTGTAACTTTCTTTTAATCCCTGAAACATGTCGTTAAGCTTGAGCATTGCTTAAACAAAGCCGCTGCATTGAGAAACAGGCTGAGTGTTATTAAAGCATGCCATTTAGATAAAAAATTAATGAAAGAAATTATTAACATTGTTCCACCACTTAAATATCACATTTATGAACACCATTTAAGTAAAATCGGCACTTCACTAAAAAAAAATGTGAAGAACTTTCTTGAAAAGTAAACTGTTAACCATTGTTATAACAGTGGTGGATGAACCACTTAAGATCTTTTGAATAAATAGCACTCCATTCTTCAATTAAATATCTAGAATGTATTAAAACCCTGAGGAGGTTTAAAGAAGTAATTCATTGAATTTTTAATAGTTTTCAACACTTTTAAGAACATTTTAATTCAATTATAACAAATAGGGGATGTTTAACAAGACCACAAGACCTTATGTAGACTGATAAAGTTAAGAAACATGAATTATACATTATTATTACTTTTTTTTTAAGTTAATATTTGGTAGCCTTTGTTTAACTTAGTTACTGAATACTGTTTTGAAATAAAACTTGATATACCCTATATCAGTTTTGTAGAGCCCATGCTTCACCTTAAAGGAGACTTAATGTGAGACAGTAAAGGCAGAACACTTTTCTGCATTCCAATTAGATTTTTACAGGAAAGAGTGACTTAAAAAACAAATTTAACTGAAAACTTTTAAAAAGAGTAGTGTGTGGTAAGAATCAAAAATAAACTTATTTCTTTAAATAATTTTTCAAATGAATAAATAATAGTTTTGTACTAATTAATTGCATTAACTATGTATGCACAGCAAGTATAACAAGCAACACAAGCATACTTGTGATGATTTGTATGCACAAAAAGCTAGTTAATAATGTATTTTGTCAACAGCACTACTTATATTCTCAAATATTTATTTTATGCTTTATGTGCTAATATTTAAAGATAATAATATAAAACACAAAAAATAAAATCAACTACCTTATATCTTCCTTCTTCATAGCTTTCACTCTTATCTGTTGTTTTAATTGAGGAACACTATAAACAGTGATATCACCTTGATTTGTTGAACAAAGAAGACAGTGATGTGTGATTTCTTCAGATTGATCTGCTTAAAACAAATATTATAACAAATACAGACTTATTTAAGAAAATATAATTACTTGCAATATTTTCAAGCTCAAGCAATTTCACACAAAAAAATTTTCATTTCTTAAAGAATGTACTAAGATAATATTTTTTTTTGTTAATTTCAAAATTTCATTTATTTTATATACAAATTACAGTTGTAAATCCTGATTCCTTGAAACAGGCATTGTTGTTGCTCATACAATCTATTGAAGCTAAGAATGGAATGCCATAATTGAATGCAGCTTTTCTGATTTAAGTATTTTTTTCTTTTATATCATCTCACAACTTCTATATATGACTTTACATAGGTATTTAAATCAAAAATAATTTACACAGGTACTTAAATTAAAAATTCAGATACTTAATAACAGAATTTAAAGTGAATATGTGAATGATTCATTTTACCAGAAATATATAATTCTTAACAATAAAACGACAAAACTATATAATCTGTATTAGAATTAAATTATCTATCTAATAAAGGTAAAATTGTTTTTAAACTAATTTTGGTTCTTGAGTTATTACGATGATAAATAAATAAAAATAAAATAAAAAAAATTTACAACTTTCTTTTGAAAAAATGATTTTATTTTTACATATTTGCATAGAGGAGATGATTCTCTTTCTTCTGGTGTTTTTTTAATATTCCTATCCGTTCCAGTTTTACTTAAATTTTTGTATCAGTTATTTAAATCCAATTTAAATCAATTAATTAACTTCCTGCATGTTCTCTCTATTTAAATCAATTAATTAACTTCCTGCATGTTCTCTCTATTTAAATCAATTAATTAATGTACACTTCCGGCATGTTCTATCTATTTAAATCAGTCAATGTATGTACCCTCTTAGCATCAGTAAATGTATGTACACTCCTAGTATATTCTACCTATTTAAATGAGTCAAAATATATATACTCCCTGCATGTTCTAAATAAAAGTATATATAACTCCAAGTAAATATGAACAACTGTTCTTTAGATTAGTTGATGAATGTACACATCCAGTGTTTTTTTATTAAATCTTTTTATAAAGGTTAATTTAAGTTACTCTTTTAAGTTTGTTTTACAATCAAACGCTGTTTAAAATTAAATTTAATTACAACACTATACTTTAAAATACGCTAATGACGCAATTTAAGTTTTAACAAAGTAAATATCAAAGTTGTGTTAAAGTTACACTTACTAGAGTTACACGTTTTTGTTATGCAATAAAATCTCATAAAAAGACCTGATATGATACAAAAAAAAAACATAATTCACCTGTTTTTCCTTTAACTTCAATTATTCCGAGTTTTCTAACTCTCGATCCATCTACAGCAGTAATTTTTTCTTTGTTTTTCTGTCGTAACCCAGGTAAAGAAAAAACTTTTAACTGTTCTTCAGATGAAATAACTACAGAATGTCCACCACTCATATCGATTGGCGCTTTTCGTCCTGCATCAGATTCAGCAGATGATAATAGAGGAACACCATTCTTGTCAATAACAAATATATTCATTACCGGAGCATGATGTTTCAGTTTTAATTCTTTTCCTACTTCTGCTTTTATAGAAGTTTGTGTTCGCTGAGATTTTTCAGGAACTGTTATTGAATAAACATATATATAACCAGCATTTGTACCTGCCCACAATGTTAAGGTATGGTGTGCTCCTATAATAATTGAAAAAAAAGTTAAAGTTTACTTTTTTCCTCAAAAAATAAATATACAAAAAAGATTTCACATACAAGTTAAATTTTTTTATAATCTTCGACCTGAAGTAAAAACAACTTCAAAAATAAATTAAATGAAAAAATTCAACTTTATAATGGGTCTTAAAGTTACATGCTGCTTTTTGGCAATCATTAGCCATATTATTCAAAAATATAAAATAAAATAAAAAAACATTAAAAATACAAGTTTAAGGTTGTAATGGCATCTGACGTCAAATAAATGTGATCCGATATTTGCTAATTGCCGGAATCAAAGTTAAATAGTTAAATTTTTTTCCTATGCTTACAAGCAGGAACCAATTCACTTTTTTTTTAAGTAGTAATCCACTCAAGTCATAATAAAATAATTTTCATGGATGCAAAGGTTACACTTTTTTGTAGGTTATAAGATTGGCATCTTTTAATTATGTTTCACTTAATAATAGGCATGTTACCTGCATCTTTATGTTTCCAGATTTCTTTGAAAAGTTCTGTATCATTTCGATACCTGGTTGCATTAAAGAATTAAGGTGGCTTGCAAACCTAAGCTTGAATGCATTTTCATTAATACGATGTAGGATTTTTACGTAATACTGGGATTAGGTGATGCTAGAGTGGCTTTATATACAACATTTTTTGATAGACATTGGTTATTTAACAAGCATTTGGTTTTCTTAATGCAGTTGCAATTTGTATCATTAGGGGTGAATTTGTTGTGTAAAATTTGTTGGTCGTGTGAATTAATAATTGATCAAATATTTTGCATGCAGCTGTAACTAACTTTTATTATGTTTCTGTTAAAAATTTTGTGGGGCTTATGATGTCATGCAAAATGCAAGTCAATTAGGTTTAAGAAAAAGTGTCCAATTATGGTTACAACATTTTTACTGAAAGGAGGATTAAACCATACAATACTTCTTTTTTGGTTTTTAGTTTAAGAAGAATTTACATTTGAATGATACTGGAGATAGGTGTGAAATCCAGAGTCTGGAAAAAAAGAAAAATACCAACTAACTCTCACACCTCTACTGCATCAAATGCACCCATGGTAACATCAAACAAACTGCTAAATTTTTTTATCCAAACTTGTCCAAACTTTGGAAAATTAACCAAAGCAACCCTTGATAATTGGAAATTTTAACCAAACTTATCCAAACCTTGGTCATTGGAAAATAATAAATATTTAGGCGAGTGAAGAATCAAAGATTTATGATCAATGGTAACGTTCTGGAAAGTTTATGGAGTCAATATGTAGCTTTTTATTAATAAAAGGGTAAAAGTTAACGATGTTGAAAATAAGGAATTTATAAAAATGTTTGTCATTGATGTTTTTGAACCAATTTATTATATTCTTTGTACTATTCCACCAATTTAATTGCAAAATATGTCTTAGGTTGGTGTTGATATCTGATAAAACCTTGAATGTAAAGTTTAAAAATTTTGAAACCCAAGCTTGAATGCGAAAAACACCTTAAATTTAAACAAAACACCTTAAATCCTCCAATGCAACCAGGTATAAAATTGATACAGAACTTTCCAAAGAAATCTGGAAACATAAAGATGCAGGTAACATGGCTATAATTAAGTAGAACATAATTAAAAGATGCTAATCTTATAACCCATCTACAAAAAAGTGTTACCTTTGCATCCATAAAAAGTATTTTATTATGACTTTAGATAGTGGATTACTACTTTACAAAAAAAAGTGAATTGGTTTCTGCTTGAAGGCATAGGAAAAATTTTTTACTATCTATCTTTAATTCCGGCAAATATCGGATCACATTTATTTGACATCAGATGCCGTTAAAACGCTAAACTTGTATTTTTTATGTTTTTTTTTTTTAATATTTTTGAATAATATGACTAATGATTGCCAATAGGCATGAAATTTTAAGTTCCATAAAAAGTTGAATTTTAAAGATATTAATCACACTATAATAAAGATATTGATCACTCTTAAACAGATGAGAGATTTTAATCAGTATAAAACACACACACATATATTTTTTTTGTTATTCACCTCCTCAAGGCCGAGAAGGCCACTACAGACGAGGAGGCTACTAAATAGTGGTTATAACCATCTCTCAACTCGATAACTCCGAAACACGAACCTTGACAAACAAGGCTACTGCGCTGAGAAACAAGTTGAGCGCAGTACTACTAGGGACGTGGCGGGGATCGAAATCGGAACCTCTCGCTTATGAAGCGAGTGTTTTACCACTACACAACTTCCGCATACATATATATACTTAATATAAATTTTTAAGTTAATACTTAAAAATTTAATAGGCATATTTAAATATCTAGTAAATTAGGTATGTAAATAAGAAATACATTTAAATACAAAATTATTATTATTTTTTTAATTTACAAATATACATTAAATATCTACGTAATGTTTGTATTTGTAAATTAAAAAAAAATATTTGTATTTACAAATACTGGCTAATAATTAGTAATATTGTAATATTATTTAATAATCTTGTTTTATGTTTTACGCATATATAACATAGATAATGTGTTTCATTGCAAGTTTTATTTTTGATTATTTTCGTTGTTATCTTTGGTTTACTTTAATAGCTGATTTATTTTACCAAAAGTATTAATAAATCTTTTTTTATAAAAACGTTATTAACTTATTTTAAAGTATAATATTTATTAATATGCGAATTTTTTTGTAACTTTCCAAACTTAAGATAATCAGGAAAAACCTAAATAAAGAATTTTTGAATAATAAAAATAAATTAATAAAATAATTCATTAAACATATTGAAAAATCTGAACTCGAGAATAAGTGACGTCAATTAAAATTTTAAAAAAAAGTTTTTTTTAAACTTTTGAATAAATGATCTTGTTAAAGTTAATGACGCTTGTTAATGACAATACGTTTTTACACAAAAAAAAATCGATTAATTTAATTCATTTTTTCGTCATGCATACTAATTTTTACTAGTCTAGCGTGACACTTTAAATCTGAGACTGACTTTATTATTATTTTTTTTTACTATGATCTTATAAACCTTTGAGAATTTTAAACCAATTGGGAGTACCGCATTATACACGGTGCCATCAGGCTGGGTAACACCCTGATATATATATATATATATATATATATATATATATATATATATATATATATATATATATATATATATATATATATATATATATATATATATATATATATATATATGTATATATGTATGTATGTATGTATGTATGTATGTATGTATGTATGTATGTATGTATGTATGTATGTATGTATGTATGTATGTATGTATGTATGTATATACACCTATATGTATCACTTACAGGGACAAATTTTACAAAAAAACAAATAGTTAAGGGATATTAGCATTATTGAAGATATTTTTGTGTACTCATTAATTTTTCGTCCCTTTAAGCATCATTTTTTAGTATAAAAATGTCCCAGTAAGCAACTTTTATAGAGAGCAAAAAGTACATACATCGACTATCAAATAGCCTGTTTCGCAAGGGAGTGCTGCTACATCGACTGAGGGTTTGATTAAGATTAGCATAAGGTCAGGCTTAGGGTAAGAGTTACGGCAAAGTTTAAATATGTTTATATTACTGTATTTAATTGTTTTTGTAAATAGATGAAAATAAAAATGAAATAATAATAAATAAATAAAAGTAACATTAATAAATATAAAAAATATATTTTTATAACAAAATAAAAATTTTTTATATATGTATAAATAAAAATAGAAATAAAATAAAAATAACACAAATATACATAAATATGATAAAATAGTATAAAAAAAGTAAAAAAACAAAAAACATAATGGAAACATAAAAAAACATGTAAACTCTGTAAATGCCAAATGCCAAAAAACACATTGAAATTACATATTTATTCAAAAATAGTTATTAAATACATAGCATAATCAAAAAAGAAAAAAAATTAAAAGAAGATAATCATTAATTATAAAAACATTAAATAAGAACTACGAGTTTATTAAGAAAAACTAAATACATAGTTTAATAATTAAAAATTTATATTAAAATTTTAATTTTTAAAATCAATATACAAAAATACAAAGATATTTCTCTGTTTTGAAAAAGAATTATAGAAAATATAGAGCATTTAATGTTTTGCTTGATAACCTCTTTCTTTTCTTTGAAACAAAATCACTGGTAGTGAAAAAGTTTTGTTTGTTTTGCATTGATGTAAGCTTTATTGATGACAGTGCATTCCTAAAAGGTTCTAAACTTTTTGTTGTGGAACCAGTTGTTCAAAAGTTAATGAATTCTTGTCTTGTCATTTTACTATTACTTTTGTTAATACCATTCACTGAATTAATTTCGTTAATAGCGTATTCAATAGATAAATTTAATTGTTCTCATAGAGAAGTTCTAAGCAATTGGAGTACAATCTGTTGAGTATTATCTCAGCAGTTTTATAAACTTCATTCTTTGGAGCAGATTTAAAAGAACATTAAAATTTCTGTAATATTGACTCTTCAATAGATGACATAATTTTAGCTCCAATTAAGTCCTTTTAATAATGTCCTTTATTCTTATAAAATGTTTTACTATAATTTCCATTGTATTATATCTTGTTTTGCAAGATATTAAGTAAAGTTAATTCAGTAATTTCTTTCTAATAATAAGAAACGCTGTTGCAATTTATTTGAAAATAATTGATGTCAAATTATTGTGTAAAACTTTTGATTTGATGTTTCAAAAATCAGTAATACATCTTTTTTTTAATTATTATCTTTAAATTAAATTGTTTTTTTACTTTTGCAATTTTTGTTTTTTTTATATCACTAAAATAAGCGTAATATATAATAAGAATATTGGCATGTAGCGGAAAGCATACTAATAATAGTGGCTGTATTGTGGACCGCCAATTATATAGCAGCAATCTAGCAGCTATGAGTAGGCTATGTAGAAGCTATAGAACAGGTTGTGTAGTAGTTATATAATAGATTATATAGTAGCATAATGTATAACAGCTATGTAGTGGGTAGGAAACTCATGGGCTATGTAGTACCTATATATCAGTATATTTAAAAGCTATGTAGCAAGCCATATAGTAGCTATATAATGGACTGTGTAGTAGTTGTGTTCTAGAAAGAATAAAAATTAACTAAAGCTAACTAAAAGCTTTGACTAACATTTTTCTTGATTACACAGGCTATCCTACTAGCAGAGTTGTTAGTCCTTGGCCTTGCCTTAAGGACAAAAATTGAGGCCTTGGCCTTGGTCTTGGCTTTGAAACTGTTGGCCTTGGGCTTGAAAAATTTAGCTTTGGCCTTAATTGTTTTGGCCTTGGTCTTAGAAAAAAAAATACATGTTTTCTTATTGATTTTGTTGAATTCTGCACATAACCTTGGTTTTATTGTCACAGCACTTGCTAATTACAGTTTTGTTAATAATTGGTGTTAACATAAGGCAAAAATTAAAGTCTTTGGTCTTAAAAATGTTTGCATAGGTCTTGGCCTTGAACCTCTTAATCTTGGCCTTGACCTTTACTGTAACTTTACTGTAACTGTTACCTTTTGTAACCCCTGCCAGTTTTATATTTGCAATTTACAATATAAAAATAAAACCATATTGATGTGCAATGAACTTTTTTCCAGGGTTTAACCAGCCTGATGGCACAGCATATAACGCTGTATTCCCAATTGGTTTAAAATTCCCAAAAAAAATCTCACATTTAAATTGTTGCGCTTTTATTATAAATTTTTAAAAACAAATGATTTAAAAAAAACAGGGTGTCTATAGAGACAGCACGCCTTTTTAAAAGTTTTAACTTATATCTTTGTTCTCAAGTGAAAACCTCAAATAAAAACAATGCCAATAAAACTACTTTTGATTAAAAATTACACGCTACCATTGTGTTATTGAGTCCCATCTACTAACAAGCCGTAGACCAGCCTTGAAACGAATAGACAAGTAAAAAAAAATGCAATTAGTATGCTCAACGAGAAAATGAATTAAATTGATCAATTTTTTTTTAATGTGTAAAAAGAAGCATCATTACAAGATCATTCAAAAGTTAAAAAAAACTTTTTTTTTAATTTTTATTCATGTCAGTTGTTCTTGAGTTAAAAATTTTTCAATATATATTTAATAAATTATTTCATTAATTTATTTTTATTATTCAAAAACTCTTTATTAATTTGCTGTTAATCTTAAGTTAGTAAAGTTACAAAGAAATTTGCATATTAATAAATATTATACTTTAAAATATGATAAAAAGTTGATAACATTTTTATAATAAAAGATTTAATTATACTTTTGGTAAAATAAATTAGCTGGTAAAGTAAACCAAAAACAATAACAACAAAAATAATCAAAAATAAAACTTGCAATGAAATGTATTATCTATGTTATATTTGCGTAAAACAAAAAAGATGATAAATAATATTATAATATTATTATTAACCAATATTTATAAATACAAACTTTTTTTTTAATTTACAAATACAAAATTTACATAGATATTTAATGCATATTTGTAAATTGAAATAAAATAAAATAATTTTGCATTTAAATACATTTTTTTATTAAAATACCTAATTTACTAGATAATTATATATGCCGATGAAATTTAGTTGCTGCCTCTCATGCGGTAAAAGAATTTCGCTCTGACCCCTAAATGTTTTTGTTACTTATTTGAATTAAAGTAGCATATTGCAACGAAAGTTCTTTTAACAAACATTATATTTGACGGAAATCGGCGAGCCAACCAAGTTTTTCCATTAAAAACTATTAAGATTTCGAAAACTTTCATTTAACTTTCATTTAAAAGCTATCAATTTAAATAAATTTTTAAATTATTAAATTTATCTAATGATAAAAATTATAATATAAAATATGAGGAATATTAATACAAATATTGTAAAATAGTTTTAAAATTTTAAGTATCTTAAAATTTTTAGTTTTCAAATACTAAAGTATTTAAATACTTATATATTCAAATATATTTCTTCAGAACTAATCATTTAAACCTTTTAAAACTGTATTTAAAAGCAATGTACGCAATTAAATAGATCAAAGTTTCAATGAAATATAATAATTCATTCATTAAAACTGCAAACAATTGTCTTTTGTTCTTGTTTTCTCTCTACTATTTTGCAGCCGTTTTTCAAAACGCCAAAAGGTTAAAAAAATCAATTTTGACTTTTTTACAAAATAAGCTAGTTTAGATGTCTACAAATGTTATTGAATACATATTTTCAACGAGTTCTAAAAAAATTCAAAAAAATTATTAGTGAAAACGTTTTACAAAGAGTTTCTCCTAATAATTTTTTTTAATTGCGTTTTTCTCAAAATACGTAATAAGCATATTAAAAAACGACTACAGTATATCAAACAAAGAAGAGAAGCGATTTAAAAATTAAAAGTCTGAATGTCATGACTTTAGAAGCTTGCTCATAATCAAACAAGTTGAATAATTAGAACTAAACGTTTATAAAGTGGAAAAATAATCATGCTGTGATCATTATCCAGCAAAAAAAGAAAATTTAATTTTCATTTTGATTAAAATTTTATCTAAAAAATGTGAAATCTATCGCTTTTTTAAATGTCTGAATGTCATGACTTTTTTTTTTTAAGTCACACCTAAAGTACCAATTTCGTAAAAACGCTGTATGAAACTTTTTTCTGACTAACACCGTGGTTACATGTTTTAAAAATTGTAAAAATGACATTTAAAAATAAAAATCATTATAAACTCTAAAATTTATAGAGAATTAAAAAAAAATATTATAGAGAGGAATTCTTACAAATATTTTAAAGCAAAAATAATTTTTACTTACCATCTCCAAGAAATGTTTCACCAAAATATAAGCATCTAACCATACTTAAAACAGCCTCATCAACTCGATTTTCATCTACAAGCCTGGATTGAGGAGCAACTTCATAGCTTTTCAATGGTGAAGTTGCACCTCCACCTCCTTCTGGTTTTTTTCTACTACTACGTCTACTTTTAAGTCTTCTAAAAGAATCACGCAATGACTTAGTTAAGGTACGTTTTCTTTGAATTCCAGCTCCTGTATTTGCCAAATCTAAAATAAGATACAACTTTTGATAAAAGCATAAGAAAAAGTACAGAAAAATGGTAACAATTCATTATTATATATATATATATATATATATATATATATATATATATATATATATATATATATATATATATATATATATATATATATATATATATATATATATATATATATATATATATATACAAAAAGAGTGCTCAATGTTCTTAAAAGAACAGAGCAGTTACAAATTAGTAGAAAATCTTTTACATATAATAAATAAAAATTATTTATTTTTATACATGCTCATATGTGCATGTGTACAAGTTTGTCTCTTTTTAAGTAAGTGTACATGGTATTTATATATGTTTACATATTTATGGTCACACCGGGCGCATCACGCTAATCCTCACAAGATCGCTAAGAATGTTGAAGCTGTATTAAAAACTGGATAGGGATTATGATTTTTGGCTTTTGTAGTGTAGTCCTGATATATTGCAATATTGACTAGCATGACGTAGAGTGCAGGCAGTGAGATCTGTTGCAAGGACATGCCCCTGACGAGTGGCATTAATGCAGGTCTCGAGCTCTTCAAAATGTCATTGGTGATCGTAGTGCATTCCTGAGGAGGGGGATCACCATTCATCCACTACTTAATTCTAATTAGTTATTATGGTACCAACATGCAATTATTTTACTTTGAATACCATTAATAAACCAGCGGATTTGTATTAACTTGTTTACTCATAGATCATTGTTTTATCATTTGCTAAAGATGACTAGAGTGTGAGTTATGGTTCCTCTCTTTCTGAGTCGCTAACTTTCACTCCTCCTACTAAATAGTCTTTACATTAATTTATGTTTTTTTACCTAAATGACATCATCTACAATCTGTTTTTATTTTCACATCTCCCAGGTCTACGTAACTGGACGGCTCAAATGGTTACTTTTTGTGATCATTGTGTCGCATATACAAAAATATTTATTCTTTGTGGCTGGTGAGCCCCAACTTATTCCAATGTACACCACAAAGACAAAACGGACATTAGGCTATCCCGCTGGATGTAGTTACAGTGATCGATAACCTAATGACTACGCTGACACTCACGCACACATTCAACCGGAAGCTCCACAATGCATGTCGGATTAGCGTTCTATGACTATGTGCTGGGATTTGAAATCCCACATCATAGCACATCATTCCACACCAGCACGGGGAAGTAGCTCTTTTGGCTAAGATTGATGGTCTACAGTGAATAATGTGTGCATTCGATCAATTGAAATCCATTCTGTAGGTCTTACGCCTGGTTCTGATGTGCTAGCTCATAAGCGAAAGAAGTGAGTGTGTTTAGCTTTCTACTCACCCGATTTGAAAGTGAACAAAAATATAACGAGACCATACTAGACAACCAAACGTTGGTTGTCTAGTATGTACTAATGCACTACACCGTCACACCTGTAGACATCAACAGTCTCTAAATTTAGTATATCAAATCCAGTAATATGTTTTACTAATTTCTTCCTGTAACTTGCTTTACTAAAATGTTGAAAAGGTTTGTCCCAGTGATATGTTGCAGTAAATTGTACCAGAAAATGATTCCAATAACTGCAATTTACTGGGACATATTACTAACAATTTATGTTAGTAATATGTCCCAGTAAATTGCAGTTATTTCCTAAAATCTAGTTGCAGCAATAAAACTTTAACAGTTTTTTAAGTTGTTTTTTGCTACTAAAATTTATTGCAATTTTTTTGATACATTAATAATGGCAGCACTCTTACTGAGTCTTCTATAATACATCTATGACTATCATTCACTACTGAACTCTAATGGAAACCATATATACAACTCATAGCAAATTTAGCACCTGCTAAAGCCATCTCTCTTTATTATGCTTGCCATTTTTTTATAGCTGATTCTTTTTTCCTTATAGCTGATTCTTTTTTTCTTATAGCTGATTTCATTTTTTTTCTATCACTTCTTTTAATCTCTCAATAATCCTTGTATGGAATACTATTGTCATATTTGGGCTGGTTCTTCTAATGAGACTTTTTCTTTTTTATCAAGGTGGAAAACACATTGTAAATATGTTTTCCACCTTGATAAAACTTCATTTGTTTCACTTTATCTAGTATCATCATTTTTATCTAGTATCATCATTTAGCAAAGTTTCTTTTACTGTAACTGTTTTTTTATGCTCAAAAAATTTATTCAGATTTTTTTTCTTGCACATCTATGTTTTGGAACTTTCTTGCAGCTTCCTGTTTTCCTGACATTTAATTTACAGTTTTTTAAGCCTTTTGTTGAACACATTTTGTCCTACAATTTGTCTTTTACTCTCCTAATGTTTTCTGTAAACTTCTAACTTAACTATTGGTTGCTTAGAGCCTTGTTGCTTAGCAATTAGAGCCTTGTTACGAGTGAATTTTATTTAAAAATAAAAAATAAAAATTTCTTTTTGGACATTTTCTACTTTATATAATAGCATCTCATGGTCATGTACATGTCATGGTCATGTAAGCACATTATTTCAGAAAAAAGAAATATTTTTAACATCCAGTTAATTATAAATTATAATTTTCTAATAAAAAACAGTGCTTTTTTGAATTGTGCTATTTTTTGGAGCTTTTTATCCATTTAAATAATCACTGCATAAGAAATGAAAGAAATTCTGCATATTAGGCAGGAAAAACTCTTTTTTAAACAAGCAAATATTTTATTATTTAGTTTTTATATTATATTAATCTTAATTTAATTTGACATCTTTATCAGTTATTTTATTATTTCCCTTTTAAATTTAAATTAGTTTCCTTGCAACATTCCTTAAAACTAATTAAAAAACTAAACATTTTTTTTTTGGATCTAAAAGTTTGACAAAATAGCTGAAATAAATCATAGTGAAATCATTGAATGGTAAAAAAAATTAAAAAAAATTGAATGGTAAACTTAGATGAATAATAAGTGATGCAGATGTAATAAACTTTTCAATAAGTGGACATTAAAGAAGCTTTTAAAAATTAATTTATGATATTAAGTCAACATTGGTCAGTAGATTTCAGTAATGAACTTTTAAGTTTATAAATTTGTCTGCAAAAATTAACATATGGTTTCCCATATGTTAATTTTTAATGATTTTTTTAGTCAGGGCTGTGGAGTCGGAGTTGCAGAGTTGCCACAATTTGAGTCTGAGTCGTTAAAAAATAACGCAACTCCGACAGTAATATTTCTAGGTATTGCACGTGTATGTACAAAGCATTCAATTAACCTTAAGTTCATACTAAACCTTAAAGAACATTGCATAAATTTGTCAAAAAAAAAATTTCAACTTATCGCGCAATATTCTTTAAAGAATTCAAAGAATTTTTCAAAAATTTTGCTTTGGAGTTGGAGTCGGAGTTGTACTCAAAAAATTTTAACAACTGGAGTCGAAGTCGTTACTTTTTTTTCACGACTTCACACCCCTGATTTTAGTTTATGTTAATGATTATGTTAATTCTTCAACTGTTTCAAAATGTGGTTACATAAATTTTTATTAAAAACCCTTTTTTAAATTTAAATCCTTTATGCATTTTTTGAAAACATTTTGCATTGATCTTTCTTATTAATTTCATATTTAATCACAATTTATTGATGTTATCACAGTTTTAAAAACTTCTTTCAAACATCCTTAACATTTTTACAGAATTATATTTTATATAATTTTTATATGTAATTATTATATAATTTTAAAATTTTCTGCATTTTATATTTCTAGATGCAAAAAAATATCAAGAAAGAATGTAGATAGTGTAGCACAATTGAAACTTACACAGGGAAAAATTTGAAACAAAATTCCAAAGGAATTATGAATTTTGATTATTAAATTTCCAAGTGAATTTTTCTTAAGGCTATTGTGTATTGAAAATTTATTAAATAAAAAATCAAAATTATTGTCTAAACATAAATATGAAAATAAGTAAAAAAAATTATAAAAATTTTTTAAATTTCTTTCCACTACTATTTTTATGAATGTACTTTTCTGTTTACAAGAAAAATATACAAATTAAAAATTAATTTAATTAATTTTGATATTCCTGTGAGATATTTTTTGAAATTTGTAAGATATTTTTAGTGAGATATCTGAGGTATCCTCTAAGATGTTTTCTATATTTTGAATTTTCGAAATTAAGATTCCAAATGCTTAGAAGAACCTTAAACATATAAAACTGTCAAAAAAATAGAAGTATTTAAAAAGTTAAAAGCTATTAAGTTAAAAAAAACCTGTAGGATTGACAGTGCACTTTGCCATGACAACAATGTCTGCAATTATATCAAATACCAAAAAACCATGACAAGTTCCAACTGCAACTCTATAAATTTAAAAAAGTGAATTAAATTCTCAATTATCATTTTTAGAATTAATATTCTTATCATTCTTTAGAATTTTATTCTTTTTTTTAAATTTAGTAAAAATTTACTCTTTTGTCAATTTAATCAAATACAACTGTAATCAGAGTCTGTTACTAAAAAAATTATTATGAGGGGGACATTCCCCCTCTTAATAATTAAAAATAATAATTATTATGAAGTTAATTTTTAGAATGAGCAAGTGAATAAAAATAAAGAAAACAAAAAAAGAGAATAAACAAACAACTACTTTGCATCATTTTTTTTTTTTTACTTCTAAATTGTTTTGGTTTACGCATATAATATAAATTTTGGTTTACACATAAATATAAATTTTGGTTTACGCATATAATTATAAATTTTGGTTTACGCATATAAATATAAGTATAAATAGCTCCTTTATATGGGAGAGTCTTATAATAAAAAAAATAATTTTTTTGCCAAATTGCATTTTTCATTGCAATGCTACACAATGTTAACAGAAATTAGTTTAGATAGGAAAAGTAAAACTGCAAAATTGATAAAAAGTTAAAAGAAAAAACTTACTTGATTAAAAAAATGGTATGTGCTCACTTAATCAATAATCATTTATATCATTAAGCATTATTTGATAATTTATTGTTAAATAAATCTTTGATTTATTTTTCCATTTATTTGTCAACCGGGACTGAACAGCAAATAAATGCGAAGAAACTTTCCTAATGTTAATATAATTACACTATTAAATGTAAAGTGAAAATAAGTTAATTTTTTCTTTTCTTAATGTTTCAAAATAGGTTCAAAACCTATTTGTGGATCCATTATGAGATATGTACTGATTAAATATATTGCCAGATTTGGTTGGAAAGTAAAATATGCAACAGATTTTCATGAATGCACTTAACAGAAAATCCCATAACAGAGAACTTGATGTCTTTTTTTAAGTATTCAGAAGTCACCAGCAAAAGATTTGATCTATGCCAGCAGTATTGTCGCCCTCCTCCCCCCCCCCCCAAAAAAAAAAAAAAATTTGTTCTTTTGGGCCTGATCATTACTACATTACTGGTATTATTATTACTGTGGTATTATTTAAAATTGCCATAATATTATACAAAATTGCCAATTTAATAGTTAATTTAATATAGTTAAATATCTAAATCAACTTTATAATAATATTATAAAATAAATAATAAGTAACAACAAATGTTAAAAAGTATAAAAAATGAAAAAAATATTACAAATAATAATAAAAAAATAGATTAATAATAATGACAAATATAATATAAGCATAATAATAGTTAACTAACTTTATCAATTTTAATTTTTTTATTTTTTTTAGATGTAAAAATTATACACAATTAAAAAAACATATTACTACTAATCAAAATTTTTTTGCATACAATCCTGAAGAAGTATCCATAGCAAGTGAAGTAACTGGTGCAGCAGGCTTTAGTTGAATTATTTTCTTCGGAATAGGGCCAAAATGTGTGTTAACTGCACTTGAACTTAATGAAAGAGGACCTAAACCTTTCCACTCAAAGCCTTCTAAATTTTGAATAATTGATATATCATCTATCTGAAATAAAAATAATAAAAATATATGACCATATAAAATAATAAACTTTATTAGTTTTTTTATCCAAAACTTGAAGAAGAAGAAAAAAAAGTTAAAGGAGAAGATAATTAATTTTGAATACAAAATCACAAGTAATTATTTATTAAAACTTTATCTTACTTTTCCCCATTGAGAAAGATTGCTAGTATCACTGTGATTAGAATCAGTTTTTAACTCATAAATAATAAACTGACCACCACTTCCACCAACAAGTAAAATGTTTGTTACTGGACAAAGAAGCAACTTTTGTATTACAAATCGTGGATCATCTGAGTAGGGATCAAAGTTACCAACTTTTTTAAAAGGTGGCCATTCCTCCTCTCCATCTGTTGCAGGTAACTCCCCATCATCGTTATGAAAAAGTTTTGCAGTAGATATTGTATAAATAAGATTAAAAAGTAAACCAGAAACATTCCAGAACTTTATTGTACCATCTTCATGACTGCATCAAATAAATAATAAAATTATAATATAAACTTATATTTTATAATATAATATAACTACAAAAAAATAAATAAAAATCCTCCTCAACTATTGTGGCTCGAGCAGCCTTGGAGAGTGGCCTTAGCAGCCTTGTAGAGGTGAATAGAGCAATAAAAAAAATTGTGTTGCATCAACAAAAACTCTTTGCTTTTTGCAAAGTATTTCAAATTAGGCTACAAATTATTTTTGGATAATGTTATGACTGTTTCCTAATAAATTGTTTTAAATAAAATATTTTATATAGTTATTATATGTTTTCTAGTATAATTATTACAATTTTTTTTTATAACTTATAACATTTTTTATCAGCTTTTTTTAATATTTTTAAATAACTAAAATTGCATATATCTACACTTTAAAAGTAAAGCAACTACATTTTTAAACTAGCTTGAGATCTACAGAGCAATTTTAAACTTTTGTAGTTGTGTATGGTGGCATATAAAACTCATAACCATATATAATAAATTTTATATGGTCGCAAGTTTTAAATAAAGAGATCTTCTGATGAAATTGAAATAAAAAATTCATTTAGTTCAAGTAAAAAACTTTCAACTTAGTTCAGGTAAAAAAATTTTGAAATTGAATTTTGAAATTAAAATTTAAATTGTTTCAACAAGTTCAAGTGACATTAATGAAAAATATTTGTATTGTTTGACATAAGTAGAAATGACTTAAAAATAAACCATGAAATTTAAACTTATAAAAATTTTTGAAAACTAACATATTTATGCACATATTACCATTTTTAATTCATAAATCAGAAGACAACTCTCGGAATTAGGGGTGGCATTTGGCAATGCCGACCTCACTGCCTAAACGTGTTTGCGGTCAGCAAAAAAAATTTGGTTTTGCCGACCTCGTTTCGATGTTTTATGGTAAGAAATTTGTATTTGCCGACCTCTAAAAGATTGAGGTCGGCAAATTATTGCCAACCTCAATTTTCCTAATTCCGAGGGTTGAGAAGGTCATTAAAACTTTTGTAAAAATTAATATTGATAATCTTGATTTTTTAAACTTTCATACCCTGTTAACATAAGGTCATTATTCTGTTTTACTGTATTCAAACACTTCCCACCAGTGATTGGCCATTTCTAAAAATAATTCTTAACAAGTTTAACTTATATTCTCAAGTTTAGTCTACCAGCAAAGTATTTTTACTTCACTATTTATTACGATTAGTTAAATGATAATTTTATAATAATAATTAACTGTGATAGTATGGCTGAGCAATAGGTAGATAACAATAAATAGCATATTTAATAGATTAATGAGCATTAGGTAGATAAAAATAAATCCACATAAGTAGTAGTAGAATAGCTAAGCATCAAACCATTAAAAGAACATAAGTCACAAAACATAATATGATAGCAAACCAGAGATGTAAAGTCTCAAAAAAGGACCCAAGCTTTGATAATATTTTTGTTTAAGTTTAAAAAAAACTTCACATTAAAAAATATACTAACTTACTTTTTCAGAAACACAACCTGTTGATTGATTTTTACCAGCTTGGACAATGAAATCCCATAAAGATGCAGGACAATTAGATATGTGTGTTGAACATGTTATAGTTGAAGAATGAATACATGCTAAATATGGTTTCAAGTAAACAGGATAACTGAAAGTAAACAATATTCAAAAAATATTTTATGTATGATAAAAAAATTAAAACCAATTAAAAAATAAATTGAAAAAATAAATAAAAAAGTAAAATAAAAAATCATAAGAATTGAAAAAAAAAAAAAGTGATACAACTTTTTTGGATTTTGTATATGGTTATTGATTAATAAACTTCATCTATCATTATGCAAAAAGCGGTAGTGGTGTAGTGGTAGAGCACTCGCTTCATAAGCGAGAGGTTCCGAGTTCAATCCCCACCACGTCCCTGGTAGTACCGCGCTCAACTCATTCCTTGTTCGTCAAGGTTCGTGTTTCAGAGTTATAGAGTTGGGAGAGGTTATAACCACAAATAAGTAGCCTCCTCGTCTGTAGTGGCCTTCTAGGCCTTGAGGAGGTCAATTAACAAAAAAAAAAAAAAAAAAAAAAGTATAATTGCGCTAAATATATTGGAACAATGCTGCCTAAAAACCTCAGAATACAATAATTGAGTTGATGTTTTCACAAAAACTTCTTAAAGAACAGAGTAATAATAAATCAGTAAAAAGCTATTTTCTAATTATTTTCTTCTATTATAGAAAACAATTACATGAATTTTTTGCACTTGTAAAACCAAAACAGGTTGTCTACCAAGCATGATTTTGCCCCTTCTCATAATGACTTCAAGAGTAATTTTTAGGGCTACAAGTAGGCGCCAATTGCACTTGTAAAAAGTCCTTAAAATTTATTTTATGAAAATAGTAAATATTGAATCTTATCTCATTATGTTAAGCCAATATCAAAACAATATCATTAGGCCAACAATGTCCTGACAATCGCCCAAAATGTTGTGCTAGTTGGGATAATTTTGCATAGATTAGCAGTAACAACTTCAAAACTTTCCATTTATTGTTTGAACAAGTTTAGATCTGCATTCTAACTGAATCACTCAAATAAATATTTTAAGTTTCATTAAATTTCTTTAAAACACTATATTCTTACTTCACTATATATATATTTTTTTAACAATATACTATTTATATTAAACAAACTTTATATAAAATATGTTTACTATAAAATTTTTTTGCCATAATAATAATTAAAAAATTAAAGGTGAACAGAATATATAAGTGGAGTACCAACTAAAATCTGCAGTTCTAGAATAAATATTTCAGTTTATTTTTTTAATGCAACCAAAAAAAGTTTTTATAAATAAAACAATTTGTTTAACAAATTATTTCATCTAAGCAAGAAGTTTAATTCATGCTTTCCTTCAGTATTTTAATTCATATTTTATTTCAATAATATTTTCCCACTTTTTCAAGAGTATTTTACAGAATATTTGTATTTTACAGAATTTTATTAATTTGGTTAATTTAAAAAAATGATTTTTACTTATATTTACAAAATAATACAAGGCTGAAAACTATAAATTATTTTAATTGTTTTAATTGTTAATAATAAAAAAATAATATTTACATTTTTATTTACAATACAAATGTTTAATGTTAAACAATAAACATTTTTATATATATAAATACATACAAGTGTAAAATTGCAAAAAAAAAATAACTGAGGTGTTCTGGCAGCCCATCTTTTTCTTGCACTGATCTTTATTTTAGACTTTCTAACTGTTATTTGAAATTTATTCAACAAAACTCTATTATTAGTTTAACACCTTTTTTTTCAAATTTAATTTAAAAATTTTTCTAGAATAGATTAGGGTAATTTGAATGGCACAAAGTGCACTTATGCAAATATTTAATTCAGCATACAAAGCATTTAGTCAAGAAAAAAGTAAAGGTAGAAGCAAGTATTTTAAGTTCTCTCAAACCATTTTACTTTCTTAAATGCAAAATAATTATAAAATATATGACTCATTCAGTCACTTGATTTATTCATTGTTTTCTTCCACATATAAAAGTGTTGGCAACTGAAAAATGAAACATATTGTGTACTTATTACAATAATCAATAATATAAAAACAAAATTATACTTTAAGAAATAACCTGTCTGGTTTTTGAATATCAATAAAAACAACTTCTTCTTCACATAAAACAATAAGTACTGCTGGATTGTTGTTTTCATCCAGAATGGTAAGAAAATCTACAAGCTTTGATGTAAAATCAAAAACAATTTTAACGCATTTGTTTTCATACAATGAAACACAATGTTTGTCACCATAGCTAGCTCGAGGTAAGCCACCAGAAAATATTATTGTTTCATCATACCATTCAACTTTGCGAACTGCTTTGCATGGAAAAGGTCCAAAAGGTGTAGTTGTTTCTTGTAAGGCAGCATCAACATTTTCTACTGGTAAACTCCAAAATGAGAGATTTCCATATTCGTGAGCACTAACAAACTGAGTAACACTCCCATAATTCCAAGATATACTCTCTACATCTTGAGAAGCAACAAAACTCTCTTCGACTACATTTTTTTCTAAGTTCCAAAGTACAATTGTTCCTTTTTTATAACCAATAAGTAACTAGAAAAAAAATTAAAAAATTAATTAGTAAAATAAATTTGTTAAAAAAATAAAAACTCTAAGAAGACTATAATAAAATACTTTTTCTGGATTAGAAGAATGTTCTTTTATTGCTTCAACAGATCCACCATTAGCTTTCGACATTTCATCTGATAAACTAAAGAGAACTTTTTCGTTTTTAATTTTTCTATTCTATTTTATAAATATCAGGATAATAACTATTTTTTAAATGGGTAGTTTTAAATGGTAAAATAAAAATTTCCCAGAAATTATAATTTGAAAAAAATTAAGATACAAAAACTAAAGAATAAGAACCTATCCATCACAACATCTTGATATATAACATGTTCTCGTAGTTCAAAAGAACTTAAATCTAGAACATATATATGACCTCCTTCAGTTCCAATATATAAACAATCTCGTGCCATTGATAGAAAACATACAGAAATTTTTTTTAAACGTCCTTCTATCACACAAGCTTTAACTTCTTCAAGAATGGATTGTTCCCCAGTAGTATTAATTTCCCAAAGATGTAACGAATTAGTTTCTCCATTGTCACATACACTTACAAGCCGACCCTAGGTAAATAATATCAAAACGTCTGTAAAAAAAATAATATACTAAATGGTATTAAAAATGAACTTACATATTTTATATAACCCGACATCCACTCTCTTGCTACCAATAATCTTTTGTTCATAAATTCATTCTCCTATCTATCCCCAATTATTGTATGACATTACTAGTAATAATTTTATGCACAATATTAATCAATTTTTTTTTTTTTTATAAACATCTTCACTTCCAACAAGGCTGCAAGCAACCACTAATTAGAGTTGGAAGTTACTGGAAGAGAAAAGATGAATATTGTAGAGCAAGATAACGATTGACATACAACTTAGAAGATTACAAATTATATGAATTAGAAAAGCAAGATGAAGGAAGGGAATTCCAAAGAACTTATGTTCGAGGAAAAAAACTAGAGGAATAAGAGTTTTTGGAGCACTTAGGAACAGTAACAGAAAAAGGACAAGACTTAATTGAATGATGAGTAACATGAGAGTGAATTTTAGTAGATGGCACAAGAGACATTAGCTCATTAGAGCAGTGCTCATTATAGTATTTGTAGAAAAGAGAAAGAGAAGCAACATTACGACGATATGATAATGCTTGAAAGTTGGCTTCAAAAGCAGGTCCAATCTTGTTTACAATGCGTTTTTGCACCTTGTCTAAAAGAGAAAGGACATCATTAGAAGATCTGCCCCAGATATGGCAACAGTATTCCATACAAGGCTGGATTTGAGATTTATAGAGATAGAGAATAGAATCCAGAGTATAAAAGTGTCAAGCTCGATAAAGAGATGCAACTTAAGAAGATGCTAATTTTGCAACGGATTTGATATATGGTTTCCAAGAAATATCAGAAGAGTTAATCCTAAAAGATGAAGGGTAGATGACTCATCAAGTACATTACTGTTCATAAATATAGGAAGGTTTAGATTATTGCGATAACGATTGGCTGAGAAAAATTAAATTTTTGAACCATAAAAGAGAGGTGGAATTACAGATTTGCCCTTACTATTAATAAAATTAAGGATTCTCCAGAAGTCACAAGCCTAATTTTTGTGATGAAATACAAGATTTCATGACCTGAGAATAGCGGGCTTTAACATTAGACAAAACCCTTTTACAATGGTTCCTAGCAGTAATAAACAGACGTCTGTTTTCTGGAGAATTGTTCTGCTGATAGATATGGAAGTAATGGTTTCAATTGGTAATTGTAGCAGCACTATGTAAGGAAAACCACTGAGAAGAGTGAGGCTTGACCTAGAAACGTCAAGAGGGAATAAAGGATTCCATGCCATCCTGAATCCAAAGTTATGTAAGAAGCACAACTGTTTACAGGAAGACGAAAGATTTCTACCTTAAGGTCATCACAAAGAAAATCACGTTATATTTCAATTATTGCAAGTATGCAATAATTGAGATAAATAATGGGTTAGTAAACAAATTTGCCTAATTAAAATAAATAAAAAATAATGTTTAAAAAATTCATAATACTTTTTATTTCCCAGCTGAAGGATTGTCTTAAAGAACTATTATGATATTCAATTATATTTTTCTTTTAGGCTGGGGAATGAAAGTTGCTTCAAGCAAGAACTTGTAATAAGCTTTTATATAAAAATAAAATTTCTAATTCAAGTGGTCTAACACTAGCTGCTAAAAAGAAACTGACAACTCTAGAAAGTTTATTTGTTTTAAAAACTCTCAAAATTAAGAAAAATGAGATCTGCAATAACTTGCCAACCTCAATCTTTTGGAGGTCGGCATCAGGTCGGCAAACAAATTTGATACAAAGTTCTTACCATAAAATGATGAAACAAGGTTGGCAGCTGTTTGCTGTCGGCAGCAATGTCGACTTCAAACAACTTTAGGCCGACATTACTGAATGCTGACCATAATTCTGAGAGCTGATATATATATATATATATATATATATATATATATATATATATATATATATATATATATATATATAAATAAACATATTATAATATTATTTACCTGTTCTTCAATAAAATATAACTGAACTATGCATTTCAAAGTTGAAGAGCTCTCTTGTGCTACTATTTCCACACCAGTGTCACCAAATCTAAAAAAAATATTTTGTAACATTTTATCTTTTTTATTTTATTTAAACTGTAATAAATTGTTAAATTAAAAATAAGTTATCAAAATATACTTTTTTTAGCTATTTCTATTATTATACATAATTTTTATTATTCTTTTTTATTATATTATTATACATAGTTATTATAATTTTTTAATATTACCAGGAGTTATATACAAAGGTTGACAGATAAAAGTTATACTATTTACTTTTTAAACCACAAACCTTACTTGAATGAGGAACAACCCCTTGAAATATTGAATAAAAATATTTGCTAAAAGAAGTTAAATCAAAGAGGTTTTTTATATGAAACTTATTATGTTATATTCTATATTATATTATATTCTATATTATATTATATTCTATATTATATTATATACTATATTAAATTCTAGAATGTTTAGGTTTTAGTTTACTTTTACCAAAAGTTATTTTAAAATATCTTCAATTTTAAATATTGTTTAGAGGTCCAAAAACACGTTTAAAGATTTTAAATAATATGAACCAAATATTCATGAATTTGCATACTTTTTTCTGTTATAAAAATATCTGATTTGAATAATAAATGTGAACACTAACCAAAGAGTTTTTTAAACAAATCAGTTTACAAAATCAGATTAGGTTTTTCTTTTTATAGTTATTTGGTGTTTGCTCTACATAAAGTGTTTTAGTTCATAACACATCAACAACAAATTTTAGTTCATAACACATCAACAACAGATTTTAGTTCATAACACATCAACAACAGATTTTAGTTCATAACACATCAACAACAGATTTTCAACAAAATAATAATTAAAAGAAGAATACTGCTTTTCTACTTTTATTTAAAAAATCTTAGTATATGTTTTCTATTTATAATCAACTAATCAAATTTATTTTTCATTTAATTCTGAAAATTAAATAGCATTTTTAATTTTTAGATTTTATTGAAGCAACTTGTTTTTAAAAAAGTATTAACTTATTAGTTATTTATATTATTGCTAAAGATTTAATGTTAAGCAGGCTTGGCTGTCAAGTGGGAGGCTCTCGAATACTGACCACAGAAATAATATTTAGTTGCAAAAAACTGGCCAGGTTTTTTAGTTTATGGCTCATTCATCTTTTATTAGTACATTCTTAGTACATTCATACATCTTTTATTAGTACATTCATTCATCTTTTATTAGTACATTAGTAGATTTTATTAGTACATTCTTTTTTTTTTATTTAAAAAGTATGTATTTTTTATATAAATGTAATTTTGTGTATCTGTTTTTTATTTTAATGTAATTTTTTAAAGCAATTTTTATGATTTATTTTGTAAACAAAGACTTTTAACAATAATTGCGTTTTCAATAAAGTTATTAATAATCATCAAAGTTAATAAAACTAATTATGAAACAAACATATAAGAAATTTCTGGTTACTAAACACAAACATGCGTACAAAATAACTCGCGGATGAACAAGCACCACACCTGAAGTCACAACAGAACACATATATATATTTAGAAAATTATTAGATATAAAGAAAAGTTTTTAGATATTGTTTTACTAACTCTAATTATTTTCACTTCAGTTGCCATTCTTACTAACTCATTATACTTTTTTCTATTTTAAATACTAATTAAAATTTAAAAGCCCACTCACTAAACATCATCAGCGATATCGTGAAGCAGTTTTGCTTTCTAGTCATAAAGTATTTTACCCTTTTTACTTGATTTCTATCTAGTTAATTGCTACTGTAACTCAATGATTTAATTATTTTATTTGTTCATCTTAGAAGAAGAAGAACTGTTTCAAATATGTTAAACTTTTCAAACTATGCAAAGCATAAAATAGTTATTAAAAAATTTTCATTTATATTTATAAAATAATTTAGCTTAAATAAAACTAAAACTAGCATTAGTTTTATTAGAATCTTGTTAGACTTTTATTTTTTTTATTTTGGAGGCCTTTTTATGTGCCAAAGCGTTAAAATGACTAAAAAATATGGCCTTCTTGAGTTTTTAGGAGCCCCTAATATTGTGGGGCCAGGGGCTATAGCCCCTCAAATCCCAACCCCCTTAATCTAGCACTGGAAATACGACATGAGTATATAAATAAAAAAATTATATTATACTTTTTGATAAATTATATTATGCTCTTTGATAAAAGAACATTTGTTTCCTTATTAAGCAATCGTAAGATGTTACTTTATACAAAAAATGGCACTTAATTTTATAAAAAAGAGCGATGTTTCGAAAATATTTGTTCTAAACATAATTTATTTTGCTTCAAGTTTTTTCATGTTAAAAGATAATTTATTTTCCTAGTTTGTTTTTTTGTCTCTCATCGGTCCAATTAATCTTTTTTGCGCCTTTTTTTTATTTTTTGAAATGTTCTTAAAACGACTAAAAAATCATGCCAGTTTTTAGCAACTAATATAACATCCGTGGTCAGTAATCGAGAGTGATCGTTCCCGCTTACCGACCAATCCTGGTTAAGAGGAAAACCCAAATATAAGTTACCTTTATAACTAGATTTTAAGTTTACAAAAAGATTTTTTTGTATTGACATCAAGTATTAGCCACAAAAGCGCATTAATCTGTACAGATTTGTTTTTGAGTTATTAATTACTCTAAACTCATTTTCTAAGGTTTACTTAACACAAATTGTCTTAGTGATCTCTTTGAAGCATTAATATGGTTAACTTGAATGAATTTTACTCAGTGAAACAACCTATTCCATAAAGTGATAATAGTATATCTGGTGATCTCAGACAAGAAAAAAAATAGCAGATCACATTGAGATGTTTGGCATTGAATTATTGATTTGCAGTGATAATGCTACAATAATTGGCTTTGGTTTCTTAATTGTTTGCAAATGCATGCAGAGCATGATGTAAAATTGCAACATGGCTGCAAATACTTGAAAAGTAGGTGGTGCATTATACATTACAAGGCCTTGAGGCCTTGAAAGGTAGGTGGTGAAAAAAAAGTAGGTGGTGAGGCCTTGAAAAGTAGGTGGAAAGGCCAAGAGGCCTTGAAAAGTAGGTGGTGCATTACACTTTACAACTGCCAAGCTAATTCTGCAGCAGGTCACCACATCTTATTAAAAACTAATATTCCATTAATGTTTCTAGATGTTGTGAAGACACACTCCAATGGTATTGTAACTGTTGTGAAAGGATCAGTCAACGATGGCCTTAAAGATTTTGAGAACTAAAACTAATAATTGTCTAAAAATTTTAAAAGAAAAGTTTTTGCTAGGCTCCTACAAGTGCACAACTAAATAAGCCCCTGAATCTGGAAAATTCCCTGATCTAGAAAATGACTAAAATCACATTGTATGCCTGAAAGAGGAACAGACACAAATTAATTAATAAATAACATACAAACTACTTTGCATGCCAATATAAAATGTTTTATGGTGGCACATGGTTGAACTTACTTGAACTAAATATGAATTTAATTTTTTTTTCTGAAACACTAAACTAACTGATTTTTTTTTTCTGAAACCCTAAACAAACTGATTTTCTATAAACTTACTGGTAACTTTTGTTGGAAAAATATAAGCTGACTTTGGAAGAAGTCCACCTTAAAATTTGCATGATAGCATTAATGATGTAACATAAATTAAATTTATAGAATCAAGATAACGCATTTCTTTACTTTGTTTTTTTGTTTTTTTGTCATGTGTTTACTTTTGCTAGACCCAAACCTTTTTAGCTTATTTAATTATTTAGACTCAGAGCTTTCTTACAAAATTGCTAAAAGTTTAATGAGTTGAAATGAGAAAAACTTTGATAAAATTTTTCCTTGTGTAACATAAGTTAAACATGGAACCTTATGTATTCCATGCTATTTATGAAGAATCTTTAGAATTTATGAAGAATTGCTATTTAAGAAGAATATTTATGAAGAATGCTATTTATGAAGAATATTGCGGTAGTGGTGTAGTGGTAGAGCGCTCGCTTCATAAACAAGTGGTTCCGAGTTCGATCCCCACCACGTCCCTGGTAGTACCGCGCTCAACTCGTTTCTCCGCGCAGCGGCCTTGTTCGTCAAGGTTCGTGTTTCGGAGTTATAGAGTTGAGAGAGGGTTATAGCCACAAAATAAGTAGCCTCCTCGTCTGTAGTGGCCTTCTCGGCCTTGAGGAGGTGAAGTAAAATAAAAAAAAAAAAAAAAAAAAAAAGAATCAAAATATCTTATTTATTAAATAGAGTCATGAAAGATTTTAAAAATTAATGTTAATGTAAAAAAAAAATTTAATGTTTATTTGTAATATTCTGATTATTTTGTTTCCAGAAAAATAGAGCCTTTTTACAACTACCTTAGTAATTGAAAGCTTCATTATTACCTTATGATCTACTCCTTATATATATATTTTACTACTGGGTCGTTCCGTGCCAAATGGTCTAAAATTTTAGGATTCCAACATGGACCCCCTCAGATTTTGATGAAACTTAGTGGGTTGGTTTATATCAATGAGAAAAACAATTCCTGAAAATTTCAGCTTTAAATCTTATGTGGTTCATGAGATATGGCCATTTGAAATTTCTGATTTTTCCAAAAATAAAAACTTGAGTAGCAAAAACATGTTTTGTTCATACTTTGAAGCTCTGTATTTTAAAAACTAAATTTCAGAAAATCTTCTAGTTTTTTTTATCATATACAATGCTAGGCTTACTTTGTTAAAACTTTGACATTAAGTTTTTAAATGTCACATTTTATTCATAATGGCTGCCTAAAAAACCGAAAAAATTGTTTGCAGATATAGAAAGTTGATTTTTGATGGGTCAATATACAAAACTAGCAATTTAAGAAGTAAAAATACATATCTTTTTAGTTTCTATATATGGTAGGCTTCCTAATTTTCAGAAATTTGCTGATATGATACAATTCAGTAAGAAATTATGGACCCCTAAAAATGGCTCCGGCTAGAACTTACAAAATTGTGCCTTCCCTTAAATCCACTGGTAACCTATGATCAACACTGATTTTCATAATATGCCCTTT